ATTTAGGATTCAAGGTTTAGGATTTAGGATTTAAGATTTAGCAAATTTGGATTTTTGCTGGTGATTTTCGAGTAACAAATTCTGTTCATAAAATGTGCCTTTTAGTTAAGGCCGGTTGCGAATCTCGAGGTCCCCTCCTTTTTTTTCGTGTGGCTGCTCTTAAGCTTCCGGATTTCAATATTTAGTCGCGCTTGTCCTTTTCGGAGAAGGACAACCAGCTCTAAAATCTAGATTTAAGATTTAGGGTTTAGGATTTAGGATTTAGGGTTTAGGATTTAAGATTTCGGGCTTAGGATTTAGGATATTGGATTTAGGGGCGGAGAAGGACAACCAGCTTTAAAACCTAGATTTAGGATTAAGGGTTTAGGATTTAGGATTTAGGATATAGGCTTTAGGGTTTCAGGGTTTAGGATTTAGGATTTTAGGATTTAGGATTTGGTGTTTAGGATTTAGCTTCCGGAAATTTGGATTTTTGCTGGTGATTTTCTAGTGATTAATTCTGTTCATAAAATGTGCCTTTTACAAAGGCTGGTTGCGAATCTCGAGGTCCCCTCCTTTCTTTTCGTGTGGCTGCTCTTAAGCTTCCGGATTTCAATATTTAGTCGCGCTTGTCCTTTTCGGAAAAGGACAACCAGCTCTAAAATCTAGATTTAGGATTTAGGATTTAGGATTTAGGGTTTAGGATTTAGGATTTAGGATTTAGGGTTTAGGATTTAGGATTTAGGATTTAGGATTTAGGGTTTAGGATTTAGGATTTAGGATTTAGGATTTAGCCTCCGGAAATTTGGATTTTTGCTGGTGATTTTCAAGTGACAAATTCTGTTCATAAAATGTGCTTTTTAGAGAAGGCCGGTTGCGAATCTCGAGGTCCCCTCCTTTCTTTTCGTGTGGCTGCTCTTAAGCTTCCGGATTTCAATATTTAGTCGCGCTTGTCCTTTTCGGAAAAGGACAACCAGCTCTAAAATCTAGATTTAGGATTTAGGATTTAGGATTTAAAATTTAGGGTTTCAGGGTTTAGGATTTAGGATTTTAGGATTTAGGATTTGGTGTTCAGGATTTAGGATCTAGGGTTTAGGATTTAGGATTTAGGATTTAAGATTTAAGATTTAGGGTCTAGGATTTAGGATTTAGGAACCAGCTCTAAAATCTATATTTTCCAAAGCTGTGAAACGATAAGGTTAAAGGGCCGAGCCGGCCCTGCCATGCCGAAGGCCCGAAAAGGGCCGAGGCTACTCCCAGCCGTTGCTTAAACCACAACTTCATCAGTTGGAACGTTCATGGGTGCAAAAATATAAAAGTCCCCCTTGAGAGGGGGGTTGGGGGGTAGAAACCCTAAACCCTAATAGAGTATAGTTTGGGTGGCCGGGGTGGGTTTACAAGCAACGCGAGCGCGCGGCCCGGGGTGCTTCACACCCGAGCGCGCGACTTCGCCTGCCACACCCTAAACCCTAAACCCTAAACCCTAAACCCTAAACCCTAAACCCTAAACCCTAAACCCTAAACCCTAAACCTTAAACCCTAAACCCTAAACCCTAAACCCTAAACCCTAAACCCTAAACCCTAAACCCTAAACCCTAAACCCTAAACCCTAAACCCTAAACCCTAAACTGTAAACCCTAAACCCCTAAACCCTAAACCCTAAACCCTCTCTCTCAAATGAGTATTTAAATGTTGAGCCATTTTTTCGGCACGGACCCCCCAATGTTGAGCCAATTTTTCGGCATGACCCCCCAATGTTGAGCCAGTTTTTCGGCAGGACCCCCCAATGTTGAGCCAAATTTTCGGCAGGACCCCCCAATGTTGAGCTAATTTTTTGGCAGGACCCCCCAATGTTGAGCCAATTTTTCGGCAGGACCCCCCAATGTTGAGCCAATTTTTCGGCAGGACCCCCCAATGTTGAGCCAATTTTTCGGCAGGACCCCAATGTTGAGCCAATTTTTCGGCAGGACCCCCCAATGTTGAGCCAATTTTTCGGCATGACCCCCCAATGTTGAGCCAGTTTTTCGGCAGGACCCCCCAATGTTGAGCCAGTTTTTCGGCAGGACCCCCCAATGTTGAGCCAATTTTTCGGCAGGACCCCCCAATGTTGAGCCAGTTTTTCGGCAGGACCCCCCCAATGTTGAGCCAGTTTTCCGGCAGGACCCCCCAATGTTGAGCCAGTTTTTCGGCAGGACCCCCCAATGTTGAGCCAGTTTTTCGGCAGGACCCCCCGTCCCACCAGTGTTGCACCAGGCTTTCGTCAGGACCCCAGGGTTTGGGCTCTAGGGGTTAGGGCCTAGGGTTTGGGCTTTAGGGTTTAGGGCCTAGGGTTTGGCCTTTAGGGTTTAGGGCCTAGGGTTTGGTTTTGGGCTTTAGGGTTTAGGGCCTAGGGCTTTAGGGTTAGGGTTTAGCGCTTGGGCTTTAGGGTTTAGGGCCTAGGGTTTGGGCTTTAGAGTTTAGGGCCTAGGGTTTTGGGCTTTAGGGTGTAGGGCCTAGGGCTTTAGGGTTAGGGTTTAGCGCTTGGGCTTTAGGGTTTAGGGCCTAGGATTTGGCCTTTAGGGTTTAAGGCCTAGGGTTTGTTTGGGCTTTAGGGTTCAGGACCTAGGGTTTGGGCTTTAAGTTTAAGGCCTAGGGTTCGGGCTTTACGGTTTAGGGCCTAGGGTTTTGGCTTTAGTGTGTCATGCTTCTTTCTGTAAGGCAGAAAAGATGACACATATCCGGCCTGAAATGTGTCATGCTTTTTTCTGTAAGGCGGAAAAGATGACACATTTCCGGCTTGAAATGTGTCATGTTTCTTTCTGTAAGGCGGAAACGATGACATTCTGCAAGGCGGAAAAATGACACATTTCCGGCCTGAAATGTGTCATGCTTCTTTCTGTACTGCAGCAATAGAAACATAAGTATATGCTAGAAATCAAGGCGTAGGGTTTGAGGTTTGATGTCGTCTGAGGGTAACGAAAAATTTTTCTAACTCTTATGTTTTGGGATTCTTTGGGTGGGTGGGTATTCTTCCAGGTTCTTACTAGCGAACTTGACTAGATACTGCTCGACCAGAGCTGCTGAACCCTAAACCCTAAACCCTAAACCCTAAACCCTAAACCCTAAACCCTAAAAAACCCTAAACCCTAAACCCTAAACCCTAAACCCTAAACCCTAAACCCTAAACCCTAAACCCTAAACCCTAAAAACCCTAAACCCTAAACCCTAAACCCTAAACCCTAAACTCTAAGGCGCTTGCCGGTCGGCCATGTGGCCGACCGCAGCGACCTCTTCGTCAGGCGACTGCATGGCATTCGCACATACAGTATGCAGTATGCCTAAACAGCAATTCTACTGTGCTATCAAGCTTTCAGCTGTGCCACCACTAAGCATTGGGATTTAGTCAGTACTGACATATAATGTTAACCCTAAAGCCGCGATTGCGGACTCTTTCGTTCGTGTTTTCAAGGATTTAGGCCTGATTTCTAGGATTTAGGAACACATTTTCAAGGATTTAGGCACGATTTCTAGGATTTAGGGTATCCTTTCTAGGATTTAGGGAGCTCTAGGATTTAGGAATCAAAGATTTAGGCCCGATTTCTAGGATTTAGGAACACATTTTCAAGGATTTAGGCACTATTTATAGGATTTAGGGTATCCCTTCTAGGATTTAGGGAGCTCTAGGATTTAGGAATCAAGGATATAGGCCCGATTTCTAGGATTTAGGAACACATTTTCAAGGATTTAGGCACGATTTCTAGGATTTAGGGTATCCTTTCTAGGATTTAGGGAGCTCTAGGATTTAGGAATATGTTTGGTCAAGGATTTAGGGTTCGTCTAGGGTTTAGACGTCCTTCTCTAGGGTTTCGTGCCTCGGATTTCGGAAATTGAACGCCGATTTTTGAATGATAAATTCTTTTCATAAAATGTAGATTTTAATATGGCTAGTGGCCCATCTCGGGGTCCCCCCCCTTTCGGGCAGTTCTCTAGGATTTAGAAACCCGTCTCAAGGATTTAGCGGCGCTTTGGGCCGGTTCTCTAGGATTTAGAGGCCTGTCTCAAGTTATGGACCCTTTTCGTTCGTGTTCTCAAGGATTTAGGCCTGATTTCTAGGATTTAGGAACACATTTTCAAGGATTTAGGCATGATTTCTAGGATTTAGGGTATCTTTCTAGGATTTAGGGAGGTTTCTAGGGTTTAGGAAGCGCGTTCTAGGATTTAGAGGCCTGTCTTAAGGATTTAGCGCTCTAGGATTTAGGGAGCTCTAGGATTTAGGAATATGTTTGGTCAAGGATTTAGGGTTCGTCTAGGGTTTAGACGTCCTTCTCTAGGGTTTCGTGCCTCGGATTTCGGAAATTGAACGCCGATTTTTGAATGATAAATTCTTTTCATAAAATGTAGATTTTAATATGGCCAGTGGCCCATCTCGGGGTCCCCCCCCTTTCGGGCAGTTCTCTAGGATTTAGAAACCTGTCTCAAGGATTTAGCGGCGCTTTGGGCCGGTTCTCTAGGATTTAGAGGCCTGTCTCAAGTTATGGACCCTTTTCGTTCGTGTTCTCAAGGATTTAGGCCTGATTTCTAGAATTTAGGAACACATTTTCAAGGATTTAGGCATGATTTCTAGGATTTAGGGTATCTTTCTAGGATTTAGGGAGGTTTCTAGGGTTTAGGAAGCGCGTTCTAGGATTTAGAGGCCTGTCTTAAGGATTAGGAAATTGAAGGCCGATTTTTGAGTGATAAATTCTTTGTATAAAAAGTAGTTTTTAATGTGGCCAGTGGCCCACCCGGGGTTATTCCCTTTCGCGCAGGTCTCTAGGATTTAGGAAACTTTCTAGGATTTAGAAGATTCTAGGGTATCGGAAACGCGTTCTAGGATTTTGCGCTTTGGGCCGGACGCCACTCAAGAATTTAGGCCGAAGATTGAGCCCTACCCAGAACGACGCATGATGAGCTGCGCTCGTCCATTTTGCTCGGACCGGGTCAATGTCGAGGCATGCGGGGGCTTTGCCCGCTCCGCAGCACAAGAGACCTGTCGCACTGTACTAGCCAAGCTCCGCCGGCAGGCAATGCTGTCTTCGAATGGATCCAATGAATCTCCAGTCAGCGTCGTGTCTAACTCTCGAAAGGGCAACATATAATGCAGCACGAACATATGGAACATCCATGTATATAGTCACGTGGGACAATGTCGCCCCCTGTATCTTGTGAAGGGTCGTACTGTATCCGGGTCGAAGAGCGAACACTGTTGCCCTGCGAATGCTTCCGTCTGCGAGGGCGGTCTCGGTGGTAATAGGGTGGATGAGCAGGATCTCGCCTTCGTCAGTCTTTACCTGCACGCCGCTCTGGCGGAGCCTTTGTACCACTGCGCCCATGCCGTTGACAAAACCATGTCGTTTGTTTGCATTCCTTGTAATTCGAACCCTCATGCCTTCGTATAGAGGCATCATACATGGCTCCGCACTCGTCTGATGGGGTCCATCGAAGTTCTCCGCATTGTCGGTTGGTTCGCATGGGATTCGGCCTAGGGGCTCGGCATCCGCAAATAGAGCCCGAATCGCAAGCCTGTTCAGATAAGCCGAAGCACGACGAGATATGGTTACGAAGGTCGTATCCGGGGTCTCCTGTAGGATGACTGCAATGTCCATGGCAGTCGGCCATCCTGAACCGGGCCGGACTCTCATGCCCGCGCGGTGTCCGCGCAGCAGTTTACGCAATTGTCGGCCGGAGGGAATTGCACTCCGTAGAAGTTGCAACTTCCAACGCAGCTGTGCGCATTTGCAGCGACGCATTTCAGTGAGTGTCGATAGGCGCACCTCAGCCCACCTGAAACTCTGTCTCGCAGTGGTTCCATCTGGCCCAGTCAGCTGGCAAAAGTCTCCGACGAAGACGAGTGCCGTTCGCCTATCCGTGGCGTCCCATAATCGCATAAGCCGCTCGAAAATCCATGTAGGTAGTTGTCCCACTTCGTCTATCACGACCAGATCGTATGGACGCATCATCTCTGCTGTGGCAAGTTCATCCAGATGTAGCCCGAACATGCCGTGAACTGTGTCTATGTCTAGGCCTGGATGTCGGGCTCTGTACCCCGTCGCAAGCATGCCGGTGGGACATGCGACGCCTATGTGTGCTCCTCGTGCGGCTGCCTCCGCCAACACGATGTCCACGGCGGTGGTTTTTCCGCTCCCGGCGGGCCCGAGGATGCACGAGACGAGGTTGTGCCGGTCCCAGGCGTCTACTGAGTTGTCTTCGGGCCATTTGGCGTTCAACGCCACCTCGACTCGGCCACGCAAAAAACGGACGACATGCAGTTGTTCCACCGTCAGTTTGACAGGTCCGTCAGGCAACTGCGTTGTCCCATATACAGGCGGGTCTGGGGTGGTGGCCTTCACGAGATTGCCTGATAAATAGTCGTCGACCAGCTCCGTTCGCGCTGCCAGCTCTGACAGTACGTTGCTGATGTGCAGATCTGGCTTGGCTTCCTGCTGCAGTTCGTATGCCACATGATCGGGGTTGCGCCAGAACCTAGGACGATGTAAAAGGCATAGTCCCAAGAATCGAAGGCTATCTGGGAGTAGTGCTGCTTCTGGCTTCCATAGATCATCTAGACATCGAAATGGCACGTGCAATAGAAGCCATTGCCCGAAGTACTGATCATTAGAACGACTGTAGAGAATGGTAGCTGCGAGAATGCTCGCGTCCACGGGAACCACGTTAATCCATTCCGAAAGAGGCATTTCGATGCGGGAATTCTTATGTGTCGTCCGGTATCTGCAAGAGATTTGCCCATCTGATCCAGATTTCCGAAGATATTCCAGAAGGTTCATCTCTTCTCTTCGCCATGGACAAGACATATATCCACGAACTATCAGCGGCATCTCTGCCGCCCAGGGAATCGGGACCACGAATTTGCGAATAACGCTGGGGCAGAGGAATTGCGGATGTCGCTGAGCAGCCAGCTGCAGGACCATTTCGGGCTGCAGAGGGTGATACTCTGCCAAGATACGACGAGCTAATGAAAAGTCGCTGGCCTGGTCGTTCAAGAGCTCCTGTGCGAACGAGCTGCTGAACTTGGGTAGGTAACCTCGGACTCAGATCACAGGCATCTGAGAAGACTACGTGATGTCGTGGATCACTGGAAGAAGGCCTAATGCAAGCCAGGATACTCGCGCAGTACTTCAGCACCATGCCCCTTCCGTCTGATGCTTGAACATCCGTGTGGCAGCGAAGCGCAGCCAATACATCCACGATGTACGCCCGGCAGTGTCGCTCGAAGGCACTAATCGGGTGTCTCAGCAGTAGCATCTGCCCCGGGTCTTGGACGACGGTTTTCTCTTCGCGCTGTCTCCATCCGCTTGATGTCCAGTCCAGCTGTGAGGCCACGACAAGAGCCCTGAGCTCGGGCTCGTCTTCCCCGGGTATGTCGGCGCGAAGCTTGGAGTCCAGTGCCATATTCTTCATGCCGTCCAGCCAGACAAGAATGTGCACGTGGACAGTGCCTCGTCCATGATAGTGTTGACCCTGCCGAAACGCTGCGCGCTTTCTCTTCCCATCCTGGAATTCCAGCCGCGCGACCCAATAGCGCACTCGACCGCTGCCCTCACTGCCTGCGAAGATATGCTCGCGGCTTCCCCGGGCACCCTCGTTGGCGCCGGTCATTAGACCTTTCACGGCCTGACTAAGCACATGCGCTATGTGAAGAGTCTCTGCCGTAGGTATGTTCAGCTTTTCACTGAGACTCTTGGCCAGCTCGTCCTCCAGCCAGCAATGATATGGAAACGACCATTCGTATGGTGCAACCGTCAAGAAGAGGCTGGGCCATCCAAGCTGACGCTGTGCGTCTACGAGTGCCATGTGATACGTGCGCCAGACCTCGGGAGAATAGGGTTTCGTCGCAAGCGCCTCGCGTATGCCCGTGCCCGCGCTGTTCTTGGCCCCACCGACTGTTGTGAACAGCCATAGGTCATACACGAACTGCAGGAGCCGCGGCTCGCAGTTGTAGCCAATTAGTGCGGAATGCGCCTTTGCGAGAAAGCTCGCTTTGGCGCTCTGACGGGTGGATCCCGAGAAGGCTGTGTCCATCTCGTCCATCTCCTCGTCATTGTCGTCATGCTGGCGGCGGCGCTTCAGCCTTCGTGCGTCCTGAGAGCGAACATACGTTTCTGTCATGGCCACCGTCCAGTACAGATGGGGCCACAAGGCACACTCCAATCCCGCCGTCTCGATAAAATTGACGGGCATCCTCTTGATGGGCGCATCCGCCGGAACGTCGCCTCTGTCGATTGCGTTTGCCCTCTGTCGTAAGAAACGGACATGAAGCTGCCA